AGAGGAGAGAAAGAGTAGAATAGGGGAGGAGAAGAACAAGGGGAGGAGTCAGGGCGGTCATGGGACACACCGAGTACATAATATATAAAAATAATTTTAACATATATTTTTTTACAAAATCAATACAACTCATTTTTAACATCTGCATTTGAATTGATGCTTTAAACCATGTAGAAATATCCTAATGCACATTTATGCTTGAATAATTGTTCCATATCATGTAGACTACAGCAGTGTTTTTCAACCTTTTTTGAGCCAAGGCACACTTTTTTCACTGAAAAAATCTTGCGGCACACCTCCAGGAGAAAATGTAAAAATGTATACAGTACTAATGTAAAAAAATATATACTGTACATACTCTGTGTGATATATAAAGTATATCTTATCTTATAATGTATACAGTATACTCTGTAGCCTATATTCACAATATACAGTTATTCTCATCAAAATGCTTAAGTCCAGGCCTTGAAATTAAGCTTTATTTAATATTTCTCGATACAATTAACAAGAGTTTGGGAATAAAGTGGCACTAACTGTGTGGAAAAAAACTAAGAAAATCCACTCTCTGCCCAAATAGTCAAATAATAACTCACACAAAGAACATGCATTGTTAGTGCATGGGAAACATTTTGGTATCCGAGCTTTAAATTCAGGAGTTTTGGATGAGGGACACGGGAGGTCCTGAACGCGAGTCCATGGTTCTGTCCGGTCCGCATGTCTGTGGTTCTGTCCACTCGACTACGGTCTGCGCTCGGTACCCAGTTCAGAAGTGCGTTCGCGAGAGCTGTTGTACAAAAATCGTACATTTCATAGTTAAACCACTACAACGCGGCCACAGCTGCCCCGGGGCAGAGCGGAGGATGTTAATCCTGTTCAGAAACGGCATAATTCATTTTCAAAAACGTCTCTATCACTTTCACTTCTCACTCGCCACAAAGCTCTTGTCTCGGTCCCTCACACATTTGTTGGTCGCATCCAATTTTACCTTTCTCGCCACAATGCTGACCTGTTACAGCCAGTGGTCGCATCCAATTTTTCAGTTTCAAAGTACTTAGCTATCTGCTGCCATCTACTGATTTGAAAAAGTATTACATGGTTACTCACAGTTCAAAACAAGTCACCGCTCGTCAACAGCGAATGCAGCTATTTTTAGACAAAGTAGACGAATTTCTCACGGCACACCAGACAATATCATACGGCACACTAGTGTGCCGCGGCACAGTGGTTGAAAAACACTGGACTACAGTATCCTCTTGTGACCCACAATCTTTTTATACTGCTACAGAATCAAAATCATTTTCATTGCCATGTACGTAACAGGAAGTCACAGACTTGTAAATTGCTTTGGCTTGGAGCAACAGTCAAAGAAGAGAGGTAAAGAATAAGTCATGATAAAAATCAGCAACACTTATTAAACAACTTTTATTATTGAACATTGAACTAGGGATGGGACTCGAGTAAAACAATTAATCTAATTAATTAGAGGCTTTGTAATTAATTAATCACAATTAATTGCATTTTAATCGCATATACAGTAAATATTTGACCTGAGAACAGTGAGAAGTATTTCTTTTCAAATGGATTTTTAGCATACCATTGAATAATATGGCGTCAAAATAGGGTCTGCTTAAACGTAACTGTAAAGTAGGAATTGTAAACGTGGGTCTGCTTAAACGTAACCGTAAAGCAGGAATTGTAAACTTAGCTTGTAAGTATTGTAAACGTAAAAATATATTGTTAACGAAAAAACTGTAGTAAACGTAAAACTTACACTTACGCTTCATATTTTTCATATTTCGCTTCAAAAGTTACGTTTACGTTTCATAAGCTACATTTACGATTCACAAGCTACGTTTACGATTCACAAGCTACGTTTACCAGTGAAAACTTACACTTACGATACATTTTTCATCTGACTCCTTTTTTGGAGGGGCGGGCTCAGCGCGGCCATTGGCTGCAGAGACCGGATGTCACAAAAGCAAAACACACGCACATTGCTACAATCTTTACAGTCTGGTTACTACAGAAGACGAAGAACAGGCTTCAGGCCATCTACGGAGACCTGCGTATACAAATGCTAAGAGCAAACTTCATATCTGGTAAGTGTCTGTGTCCTACAGAAGCTAATAATGAAAAAGTCCAACCCATAAGTGATCACTTGGTTACATCATGTCGCTATAAGATAACCCGCTGTGACCTGATGTAATCATGATCAGTCAAGTTAAAGCCAGCTCACTTTTAGCGACGCTATAACAAACAGCTGACGTTGCTAAAATGCTAACATTAGCTGTTTTGCTAAATAAGTAGCTAGGGAGGCCCCTTCGTTTTAGTCTGAGGAGAAACAGTCTTCAAATAACTAACTAAACAGTTGTTCATAAGTGAGCCTGTGTAGCCTTCTAGTAAGTAAGTAAGTAAGTAAGTTTTTATTTATATACCGCCTTTTCACTGCAGATCTGAGTCTCAAAGCGGTTTACAATTGTTAATTATGGGCATTTGTCTCTCACTCCACACAGAGATGGGAGCGGGGTCGCCAGTACAGGAGGCGCATGCCAGAACTATTGGACATATTTTTAGTGGTAGGGGAAACCGGAGTACCCGGAGGAAACCTACGCAGACACGGGGAGAACATGCAAACTCCACTCAGAAAGGCCCTGGTCCGACCGGGATTCGAACCCAGGACCTTCTTGCTGAGAGGCGAGAGTGCTATCCACTCAGCCACCGTGCCGCCGTAGTCACAACAATACTGATACTGTGAGTGGATGAAGAGCACACCAATATTTTAGAGCTGTAAGCTCCAAAAAGGGGTCAGATGAAAAATGTATCGTAACCGTAAGTTTTGACCCGTAAGCGTAGCTTGTGAATCGTAAACGTAACTTTTGAAGCGAAACATGAAAAATCAGAACCGTAAATGTAAGTTTTACATTTTTTCATTTACAATATATTTTTAATGTTTACAATACTTACAACCTACGATTACAATTCCTGCTTTACGGTTACGCTACAGTTTTTTCGTTTACAATATTTTTTTATGTTTTCAATACTTAGAACCTACGTTTACAATTCCTGCTTTACGGTTACGTTTAAGCAGACCCTATTTTGACGCCATATGATACCCTATCCAGTTATTATAATAGATCCATGGTTCATGTTCACTGTGCCACTGTGGTTTTTGTTGTCTGAACCGAATTCATCTCATCCATGATTCATGTGCGTTAGTTGGTGCTCCAGTACCATCGGTCCGTCAGAAAATTAACCAGTGAGAAACATTCCACGGTGAAAAAATAAATATGATTAAAATGCGTCGATTTTTGTAAAGCACAAATTTTTGTGTAATTAATTAATATTAATTAAAGTGTTAAGTAAAAAAGGTGAAAGAGAAAACAGACAATACAGCCAAAGTTCAAACCCAGCCTCCACCCACCCCCCATCCGGGCCAAGGAATAAAACAAATTTCAAAAATAAAATAAAAGTATAAAACAAATACACAGACACACTTATACACACACAAACACAAAGGGGAAAAATATGAAGTGGATAAACAAAATAAAAGTATAAAACAAATACACAGACACACTTATACACACACAAACACAAAGGGGAAAAATATGAAGTGGATAAACAAAATAAAAACGTATTCCCCCTGTTGCAATTAAATCCTCCTCCAGCTCATGAGGAAACGACATAGAGTCAATAAACTTAATAAAAAGATCTCAGGTTACACGAAATCTTTTGACTGAGCCCCTTAGTGAGAACCTCGTCTTCTTGAACCCAACCGAAATGTGAAGCTTCCAGTTTAGTAAAATCAGCCTTCAGGCCAGCAATGTGGTAAATGCAACAATCCGTAATCATTAAATAAGGCAAATTTGAGACAGTAAGGACCCCAAAAAAGGCAGTAGCAGGATTAGGGGCAATTAAATGACCATATGCCCTAGATAGTATGTCAAAAATGTGTGCCCAAAATGCATCCAATTTAGAACACATGTACATGATTAGCCGGAGAAAATTGGTACCTGCCACAAGCATCCCTGGCAGTTGGACAAATGTGCAGACCAGCGGGCAAAATCCCTCTCAGTCTTATCCATCAACGGTACAAGGTTCTCACGGTAAAGTTCAGAAAGAGACTGGGTAACTTGAATACCCGAGTATCGAAAGCTGCCGCTTGACCACCGAAATGGCATCGAGGAAGGAGAGAGAGCCTTATAAAGATAATTAACCGGCAAAAGCTTGGATCACCAGGAACAAGTCGTGGGATAAGAAACTTAGAGGAGGAGGTTATCTGTATACAATGAGCCCTTATGAACTGAGTCTAGTCGGATGATTCCTTTAAAAGCTTCTTCCGGACAGAGCCAGAGAGCCAGTGGTTCAATTACCAACATAAATAATAAGGGGGAAAGGAAACAACCCAGTCTAGTGCCGCGATGTAAAGGGAATTGCAAGGAAAGTGTATCATTGGTACGGACTGAGGCTTTTGGGGAGGAGTAAAGAAGTTTCACCCACTCGATAAAAGCAACTCCACATCCAAATCTGGACAACACATTGTACAAAAAGCACCAATTGTGCTTTTTGTCGAAGGCTTTCGGCGTCGAGAGACAACAACTTCTGGCACCAAAGAACTAGGAGAAGTAATGATATGAAAAAGACGTCTGGTGTTGCATGACGATTGTCTGTCTGACATGAAGCCAGTCTGGTCCAAGTCTATGATGGATAGTAGAATTTTCTGTAGCTGTGAAGCAAGCTACAGACAAAATTTTAGAATCAACGTTCAGGAGCTAAATGAGGGTATAACTACTACAAAGCAAAGGATCCTTGTCCTTTTTAAGAAGCAGGGAGATTGTGGCCTCAGAAAGAGTGTCTGGAAGACGACCAAAGGAAAATGCCTCATTGTACATGTCTTTAAAGTGGGGGCTAAGCAGGGTAGAGAAGGCCTTAAAATACTCAGCTGTGAAACCATCAGGTCCAGGGGACTTGCCACCCTGAAGTGAGCCGATAGCCTCCTGTACCTCAGCGATCGTAATGGGTGCACCAAGTGATTCTGCAGACTCTTCCTGAATATGAGGAATATTTATCAGAATCAGAATCATTTTTATTGCCACGTAAGTAACGAAGTCACAGATTTGGAAATTGCTTTGGCTCAGTGCAACAGTCAGAAAGCATCCAGAATAACATCAGCACTGCGTGGGGAGACCGAAGCGTAAAGGGAGGCACAAAATTCCACAAACATATTATTTATATCTTTACAGTCGGTAAGAGTTTCACCCGAAGATGAGGACGTTGCTTGGTGCGAAAGGAGCTTTCCCTCTGTGAAAGCTGGTTCACCACGGTTTACCCTTAGACATTGAATGGAAACTACAGACTCAGCTTTAAATATAAAAGAAGGTTTAATGTAAAAGTAAAAGTAGAATACAGAATGTAAAAGTAAAAGCAGAATACAGACAAGTTTCAGACTAAGCTCATAGCCTGGGCCCCTGCTAAAAAGATGGCTAGTAAAAGTGACAATGAATCATGCAACTCTGGTTGCTTTTAGCACCAGAAATGCCTGGTGGTGCTGTGGTCTAATCACAAGACACACACACTTAAACAAACCATACATTCATAGACCCTAAATGTTAAGTATTATGACACTCCATATGCATCCCACATGATATTGGTGTTTGCTCTCAAATGAAGGTCCTATTGTCTATTTAAACGTCCCGTGTCTCACTCATGACTGAGAGAGAAGGTTAGAGTGCTGCTGACATGTCTGATCACATACTATAGATAACTATCATTATGATTAGACTAAACTTACACACATTTATTAATATGTAAATTAAACCATACAATTTATTGACACCCTCCTTGTCACCCGACTCATAGAAACGCTGCCTAGACCTCAGTAAGTCAATAAGTTCCGGTCTCAAAATATTTTGGTTCCTGCAAATGTATGCCTCCATGGGTCACCAAGACCAAATTGTTGGGTAAAAGTGAGCAAGGTCTTTGCTGCCTTTGTAGGAGAAACAGAGATGCTCGAGGATCGATCTAGCACAAGGTCCTGCACCAGGTTAAAGTCAAGACCCATAACACTGTAATGATTTTGAATATCAGGAAAGGCAATTCCAAAATCCTCCCAGAAACCATTGCAAATCTACCATTTGGATCAAAAACAGTTTTATCCACTATAAAGGGAAGACCCTTTACGAATAATACTAGCTGTGCCTCTCGCTCTGCTGTTAAATGTAGAGTGGAAAACTTCCCCAACCCAAGGTTTCTTTTAACGTACAACCTCACTGTTAAGCATATGGGATTCCTGAATAAAATATACTGTATATATCACCTTTAAGTTGATTCAAATTACCCGTCCCAGTTCCTTCACATTCCAAGAAATCAATCTTAGTAAATAAGTGGAAGTCATACCTCAGTTACTGTTAACAAGGCTCAGATGTAATGAAAAATTGGAAACCTGGGAAAACAAGGAGAAGCCGACAAGTATTTGATTGTTGTAAGGGGGAGAGAGAGAGAAAAGCTAGATAAAATAACTGATCTGGAGAAAGAGAAACAAAAAATAAATGATTACAAACATACTCACACACACATATTCACCCCAACACACCCAGTGGCCCAAACACCCCCCAAACGTATGAAACTGCGTGTCCATTGCACAAAGGTGATAAAACACCATTCCGTAGAGCTTCCATTCCTTCAAAAAGCACCAGTCCCCCCCCCAAAAAAAACTCACTGTAAAGGTCAAAGAATAAGAAAAGTAAACACTTTTCAGTCCACAGTATTTTTAAATAAAAATAAATAAATAAAAAAACAAACACACTTGGAAAAAAGTATACAAACTTAGGTAGTAGTAATGTTTTTCAAAGCAACATATATCTAAAAAAAAAAACCGCATTCAAGTAACTTAGTCCTCATTTCTATCGTAAATAAACATGTTCAAATGACGAGGATCCAGAATCAGCATGCAGGATAAATATCAAACCAAAAAGACAAATTAAACATTAGAAGAAAAAAAGAACTTGTACTTGTAGATCATGCTTGAAAATCACAGCATACAGCCATGATGTAGCAATAACCACAATAATAAAATAAAACTATTCAGTCTCACGTTCTGCAGCTCTTTGACGACAAGAAATAAAGTCCGTGGCTTCTTTCACGGAGGAGAGATGCTTCTTCAAGCCGTCCTCAAGCACAACAAATAGCTTAGCAGGGTAACTCAAAGCAGGTTTGCCTCCCAACTCGTACAGTGACTTCATGACGTCTCTGTACCGGGTACGTTGCTCAAAAACCTCCGGAATATGATGGCAGAGTCTTCGGATATTTCATGACACTTTGAAGCAACTATGGTTAAAGTTCTAACTCTTCATTCTAACATATGCAGAAGCCAGTACTTTTCACAGCATGTTTTGTCTATCTGAAGGCCAAGCTACTGGCATCGCGGTGAAAGCTGATTGGGCGGTGTTCATTCCTCCATGCTATTTATCAGGGGTGCACAAAACTTTTTCAGTGAGGCACTTAGATGGAGTACCAGGAGATGGTGTTTGGTACTCACTCCATTTGTCGCGTGGTTCTTAATGGAGATTTTATACTTGCTTCTTTTTAATGCTAAAGTTTAGATCAGCTCAGATAGTCCACTCAATCCAAGTCAAATAATGACTCACTGGTCTCTTTTCTAAAAATGCAAAACAAAACAAAAATCAAACAATGTTCTGTTTGATAAAACAGGCGAGCTCGGAGTCCAGTGGGTGGGTTTATTTTATATACTCCCAGAGTGCAAAAAAATGGTGAAGGCAGTGCAGAGCGTATTTACAACAAAATTAGCAACAAAAAAACAAGTTCACACTGACACACAGGTCACCTTTAAGTTTCAAGTTACCTCCTCTGTAACCAGCGGCAGACTGTGCCAAACACGGCTCCTGGCCCCTCCCATTGAGCAAATTATTTTGGTAGAAATTACATTACATTACATCATTATACTCTCAGAACATGTACATTTAATTACGCACATCACATGGGCATAATTCCCATTTAACCCATTAGGAAATAGTGTCCTGGTTCAATCCTCGCGCACAGACCCAGAGGAGCGAGACAGACCGGTAAATGTGTGTGTAAATGTGTGAATGTATTTCTGACCCGCACGAACAAAGGATTTTACAGACAGCAAGTGATAATAATAGAAACAGAGACCTCCGATCAGCAGCTGCCACGGTGTGCTTGTAGCTTGGCCTTCAGATAGACAACCAGGTAGTGGAAAGTACAGGCTTCTGCATATGTAAGAATGAAGTTAGAACTTTAACCAAGTGTTATGAAATCACTACAACCACAAGGACACACGGCTCGTGTTTCTCCCCAAAGCTTCCTGCCAGCTTCCTGCTCACGCCCTACTGTCCTCCACCTGAGCGGCCCAAGGCTCTGGTGATCTTGGGGTTTCTGTCACTGATGAGTTATGCGGTTCACCTTCCCCTTTTCCCTGTTTCCTTTTATATAAAGTCGTGAGCAGTGGGACATATGTGCAGAGGCAGCACTCAGTGACGACAACGTGCTATTTGGGTCAGGGAAGAGTAATGAGGGGAACCTCTGCATGAGCTTCTACATACCAACATGTTACAGCAGCTCTGCTTCTGCAGGCCTCAACTGCAGAATGGAACCAAAAGAAAAGCACTCAAAGGGGGCATAACCTTCCCAGAGTTTTACTTACCTTTCTTTCTTTGCTTATTTTATTTGGACGAGACAAGTTTTTAATTATTGAACAGCAGGAGCTGCAAATAAACCAAATTGTAGCTATATATCTATTTACATCTGTAGTCCCACAGCTACACTCACAAGGACATCCTCACCTCTTGTACATGTTTTTAGTGGTAGGGGATACGCAGACATGGGAATAACATGCAAAATCCACACAGAAACACCGGGTCTGGAGTTTGAATCACACCCAGGACATTCTTCCTGAAAATGTCACTTTCTTTTCTACGAGGAGGATTCAACTGCCCTGTGGTGTAATTTTTGCTCTAAGGAAGACAATATAATTGCATTGCAGCTTTTTCTGAAATGCGGTGTGTGCATAACATAGTTGTAGCTCAATTTAAACATTTGCTATGAACCCATTATTTAATAAAGAGCCACATGGGTCATACATTATAATATTCCTAGTCTGTGACTTCTTGTTACGTACAAGGCAATTAAAATGATTCTTAATCTGATATTATAGATCACAATCAGAACAGAAACAGAAATGTCCCCTTGGGACATTTTTCTCTCTGTAGACTAAACTTTTTACTTAATAAATATTTTAGTTTCTTCCAAAAAATTGCAAGTAATATACAGCTCTTTTTTACTTTTCTGTGTAAAAAAGCTGATCTAAAGGGTTGAGTGATAATGATACAGTAGCACTGTATATATATATATACAGTCTTGTATATCTTCTAGTATTTTAGAAGATACACTAGATATTGTGGCTCAGTAGCTCAGTTGGTAGAGCATTAGCCTTTGGGCCTGAAAGTCGTGGATTTGAGCCCACCACGAGACCTGATTCTGCTGTCGTTGTGTCCTTGGGCAAGACACTTAACTCCACTTTGCCTGAAGCCCCCGCTGGAAGATCCAGGCTCCTGTGAACTCAACACCTGGATCAGTGAGGGGCTGGTGCTATGTGTACTGGGTGACATCTCCGACCCAAAAATGGACTAAGTGTCATGTGGTGAAATGATAGAGGACCCAAAATGCAGGAATGCAAAAATAATGATTTAATAAAATAAGTTCCAAGGTGAAAAGAAACCTCAAAAAATCCAAAGGAACCATGAACAGAACTTGACAAGATAATACAGGACGTTGACAATACAATGGACCAGCAACAAGAGGAGAGAAGCACAGGGTACATACAGACACAGACACAGGTGAAACACATCAGGGCGGGGCAGACAATCAAGACTGGGGAACAAGACAGGAAGTAAAACTAAAACCAAACCACAGAGAACTGATATCAAAATAAAACCAAAGCACAAAAATAAAATCCACACTATGAAACTAAAGCCTGGTTCACACGGCAGGATAATTGGGCCGATTTTGGACCCGATTTACCCCTACGACAATCGTAAGAACGCTCCGAATATCGTAACAAAAAATCTGATGGATTTTCCTGCCGTGTGTGGTGTGTTAAGACTGTGCTCGTCGCTCGGAAGGACTTCGGGACTGCTCCGATCTCAATATCGGGGATATCCAACATGTTGGATTGTTTTGGCCCGATTTCTCTTCGTGTATGGTGTCCCCCGAGGACAGACGAGCGCGTTGCCATGACTGCGGCGTGTAGCCAATCAGAAGACGAGAAGAGGCGCCGAGGAAACACCGTAAAAAAAAAAAAAAAAAGTCACCGGCATGGCGCACCAGAAAGTTCGGTGGACATCAGAGATGGAGGCACTAGTTGACCTCTGGCAACACCGTGAATGTATGTATGACGTGTCGTGTAAAGCATATCATCACCGAAATGACAAGGACCTGCTGCACAGGTAGTGTTGGCATAAGCCCTATTCGGACGGGATTAGTACACTAAATGATCAGACTGATGGGTTGTTTGTACGTTTACTTTGCACTCTGTCCTAATACAGTACAGACGTGGTGATGCAGCCGTTACTGCAGCCGTGCTTGTTGGTTTGCGCGTATGTAAAGTTTCATGTCTAGCAGTGTGTGTGATGCGTTCACAGGTAGTCCGTACAAACTGTATTATTGAACAGCACAGACAGCACGGGCCAGAGAACTGTGGAGCAGTAAAATCCACATGTATGTGTTTGTCCTCATGGTGTCTGTGGCTGCTGTGGTCAGACGAGAGTCTCTATAGGCTGCGTGAAGCGGAGAGGCCCGCACACTCTGTTTACTCTGAAGTCACGCTTGATCTCGAGCGATGTTGTGAGATTTCCGGTGACCTGTGAATGCTCGGGGGTGAAATCGGTTCGTGTGTGTTTTGCGTGATTCTGCCGTGTGGCTGCGCACCACACACTGTACGACCAAAGTGGTTAGACCCGTGATTTTTTATCTCCGTGTGTGGGGTCGCACACGGAGAAAAAAATCGGTCGACAATCTTAAAATCGTCTCGTGTCAACCAGGCTTAAGGGGTTGAAAATGGATGGATATACTAGATGTTGTAGTAATTTGTTAACCAGGCTGAGAACAAATGACTGATTGGGACAGCTGTGAACTACGCATCAGTTCTGTTGGCCTACTGCAAAATGTTATTGGTGCCACAGAAATGAAAATATAAATGAAAAATCACCTGTGGTATATCCTGTGGTATTTTGAAGATGCGGCATTTTGAAGCCGAAGCCTTCAAAATGCACCGGCTTATAGTAGTTACTTACGGTAGTTTATGCTTTTGTAGTAGTAGGTACCCCAGGTTTATTTCCTGAGATCACAGAGTGTTGGCGCACACACCTCACATGCCTCCCGTGTATCAGCGTCAGTGCACACAGGTTCATCATGTTCCAGGACGAGCTGTTATTGTAGCGCATCAGGTTCAGAGCCATGGCAACGTGGGAGTGACAGTTATCCAGACACAGGTTGTGCTAGAGAATAAGAATAAACATATACAAGTATCACATATTTTTATGAATGAGTTCTAAATACAAATACGAATAAAAAAAACATTATTGTCCACCAAGGTGGAAAATTGTCTATAGTTGTCTTGTCACCTTAAAAAACATAAAAGACACACAGTCAACAAAACATCATATGTCACTACATTCACAGTACAATTGGAAGAACTAACTGGGAACTGAATCCGGCCTCATCCGGCCTAAAGACAAGAGTCAACCTCAGGACTTCACAAAGCTTAAGAGTGTTTGGCGCTTTCACTGCTCTGGGCACAAAGGAATTTTTAAAAATGTTTTTCTTGGCTCGATATCTTCGTCCTGACGACAGAAGTTCAAACTTTCGGTTTAGCGGATGGGAAGCATCATTGATGGTGAGCTCAATCTTCTTTCCCAAGTGCTCCTTGAACAAACAGTGGAGAGATCTTTGTGGCTGCCCAATGATCTTTGAGCTCTGGTTCACGTTTCTTTGGGGTTTGTTTTGATTCTTCATGCTGAGGTTGCCAAACCACATCAGCATGTTAAAAGTGTTAAATCAAGCCTATTCAACATGTGGCCCAAAAACCATCCGGCCCCCGGCCCATGTTCATTGCAGGAAGTGATCCAATATTAGGCAGTACATGAATCAAGTTGTTTATCATGTTTCAAGTACATTTTGAAAAAAACAGTAATTTACTTTTTTGCTTATCAATGTTACTTGATAATATTTTTGTGGGTCACTAGCAATTCCTATTCATATTCACATCTACTTTGTGTGTCGTGAGTCTACGCAGTAAAAAAACTCACTTTATACTACAAGTCTACAAAAAACATGTTTTCTACTAAGATGAAGACAGCATGCTGTGGTCTGATACCACAACATTATACTCATAAAAATGCGTTTTACTAAATACGAGTTGTTTTATAATCCGTAATTTAATTGAAAACTGGAGCTCATTGATTCAGCTTGTGTATGAATTCAGGCCGTAAAAAGTGCTGAGTAGAGACTTGAGCGTGACGCTCGCTCACAGATCGAGGAGGCGCTGCCTGTTACGAGGAGGCGCTGCCTGTTACGAGCAGGCGGCGTCCTCTAGCCTCTACAGCGCTGCTAAAAACAGTAGCATGTTAGCAGAATTGGCTATAACTCCTCTTGCTGTAACTGTATACACAACAAAACAGCCCAAACGACACAACAGTGAGGAAGAGAAGAGGGAACTAAAGCGAAAAAATTATCAAAGAAGAAACCAAGCCCGGGTGAACATAGCTAGCTTACATTGTATCCTCTGGAGAGACTTGTCTATGGGAGAGACCTGCGGGACTGCCTCGGACTATCTATGATCGGACCACATTCGAAACTAGCGGTAATCTTTCAGTTATATATTTTGTTAATGACATCGTGTGTCAGGCTTGAACTCTCTCACCCGGCTTGGATTTGCCCCTGTGTACGGAGGTCTGAGGGCGCCGCAATTCGGTTTAATTGGACTTAATAGAATATCTGCCTGCTTTTGACTACTACATTGCATACAATATTGTCCCTCTCAGGCGATGTGTTTTTCTCCTGCTGTGTCTTCTCTCCACTCTTATCTCACATTCCTCGGCCAAGGCCATAATAACAAGGTCCCCATCTACAACAACTCACACTATTTCAGTCTCCAGCACGGATCCCGCTCCCCCCGCCTCCCTCTACCTATCCATCTTGCTCCCTCCCTCCCCTCCACTCCTCATTGTGTTTCCGACTCACCCCCTCCCTGACCCCGCCCCCCTCTGACAGCCACATTGGGCCGGCAGTCAGAGGTGCTCATCCCGAGAAAAAAATCTGTGGTTTATACAAAGCACAATGTGTCTATCCAATTGTCTGTGAAACTGTATGTTATTGTTCTCTGCTGTTTATTCTACTGTTTGTCGGATGGCGCCGTGGCAAGAGCTCTGGTGTGTGTCGTCTGGTGCACACTGGGGTAGTCTTGCACAGTTTTTCCAATGTGGTTTTACTGCAAATGGCAAATAAATGAATCTGAATCTCTGTTAGCAGAGCGTTGCTTTAGTACCATTTCATCAGTGATTGTTGTACAGCTTATGGTGCAACCAGATGTGCCATCGTCCCCTCTGACCACCACCAGCGATTAACATACACACCAGACTATGTCTAGGCAATGTGTTTAAACTGTCTTGCCTAAGGACACAACGACAGTTTGGAACTTTATAGCCGCAGCCACCCCACTGTGGCACCTAGTGTTCCCAGAGGTTTCCCATTGTCTGATGGGATCTGGCTTTCACATGCAAGTCAGGCCACATTATTATTGAGTATTCATTTCTCTGGGGACTATGTTGGGATATTGCCCTCTTTTAGAGGACAGGACCAGTTTTCACAGCACAGATTAATTTAATTTAGAAAAACAGTATGACCGGAGCCAGAGCTGCGTTCGCATTGCCGGCAGTAAGTCAGACCTGTTCCCGGTGCAAGTTGGCCTCCGCCAAGGCTGCCCTTTGTCACCGGCTCTGTTCACTGTGTTTATGGACAGAATTTCTAGGCGCAGCCAGGGGTTGGAGGGGGTCCGGTTCGGAGACCACAGGATTTCATCCTGCTTTTTGCGGACAATGTTGTTCTGTTGGCTCCAACGAACCAGGACCTGCAACATGCACTGGGACGGTTTGCAGCCGAGTGTGAAGCAGCTGGGATGAGAATCAGCACCTCCAAATCCGAGGCCATGGTGCTCGACCGGAAAAAGGTGCCTTGCCCTCTCCAGGTGGGTGGAGTGGTCCTTCCTCAAGTGGAGGACTTCAAGTATCTCGGGGTCTTGAGGGACGGATGGAGCGCAAGATTGACAGGCGGATCCGTGCAGCGCGTGCAGTGATGCGGTCGCTGTATTGGACCGTCATGGTATACTTACGTGGCAATAAAAATTATTCTGATTCTGATTCTGATGGTGATGGTGAAGAAGGAGCTGAGCCGAAAGGCAAAGCTCTCGATTTACCGGTCAATCTTTGTTCCCTCCCTCACCTACGGTTATGAGCTTTGGGTAATGATCGAAAAAACGAGATTGCGGATACAAGCGGTCGAAATGAGCTTCCTCCGCAGCGTGGCTGGGCGCTCCTTTAGAGATAAGGTGAGGAGCTCAGACACACGGGAGGAGCTCGGAGTAGAGCCGCTGCTCCTTCACGTCGAGAGGAACCAGTTGAGGCATCTGTTCAGGATGCCTTCCGGACGCCTCCCTGGGGAGGTGTTTCGGGCACGTCCCATCTGGAGGAGACCCCGGGGAAGACCCAGGACACGCTGGAGGGACTATGTCTTTCAGCTGGCCTGGGAACGCCTTGGGGTCCCCCCAGATGAGTTGGAGGAAGTGTGCGTGGATAGGGAAGTGTGGGCGTCTCTGCTTAGACTGCTTCCCCCGCAACCTGGCAACGGATGAAGCGGAAGAAAATGGATGGATGGATGGATGGATGGAAAAACAGCTAAAAAGAAAGCTACTTCATTAGGGGTGTTTGGATTGGAACAAAAACTAGGACCAAATATGGAGCTATTATTGTTTCAATAATATTTGAGCTAGCTCACTAGTGTGAGCGTAAAAATATGTGTGCGTTTGTAACAAGATTTGTGTAAATATCCATAAGAACGGAATAAAGCCTAGTAGCTACGCACAGGCTCTCATTTTACACACAAAACTTTTGACACACTCCTGCCGTCAGTGTCTCTGGAGATTCGCAAGCGTATTGTGGTGGTTCTAGCTCTATACCAGCAGATGGTGCAGATGGTGCTGTTGTAGCTGGTAAGCAAACCAACACTCACTGCCTTGCTGAGATACATCATAAACAGCTGAGGCAGTGCAAGGCAAACCTGCACGTGTATGTCTCACGGCAGCCGAAGCAAACCACAATGGCGGATATTAAGTCCGTGAATAGCTTTAAAAGACAAAAATACCAACAAATTAAGACACAAATGTCACTTTTAACGCAATTGGAGGCGAGATGTTGATGGTTCCATGTCGTGATATTTGGGTATTAAATGTTTTGTGTAAAGTTGATTTAAGTAGTAACTGCTCCTGTGATTCACACTACTGTATGATACATGGATCTGTATCATAGCAGTCCCTTTCTTGTCGAGTTTAACTGCTGCATACGTCATTTTACTGACGTAGGCAGATGACGCGTCCTGTGGCTAACTCGACAGTTGTTAACTAACTAAGCTAAGTTGTAAGCTATCTGTGAAGGCAGGACTGTGTCAAAAGATCTGTGTTACGCACATACAAATCTCTTTACACACGCACAAATCTTTTTTCTCACATACACAAATCTGGTTATGCGCGCACAAATCTTTTTACACACACACACAAATCAGTTTACGCACAAATAATATTGAAACAATAATAGCTCCATAGAGACACAGCCATGAGCTGGCCGAGTGAGAGAACGATTCAAACCCAGGACCTGAGTGGCGAACACTCAGCCAAAGTGCCACTTGGACAGGTCTGGTTCTTACCGGTCTGCTTTTGTACTCCTCAGAAGCATCGTAAACGGCTTTATCCCACGTGACAGCACCATTTCCACAGACTTTGTCCACATCCAGTTTCCAGTATCTAGATTCATATGTTAATTACAGTTAGAAGCTGAACTGCTTCATACACAAGGAAATGTATGATTATTCAATTTAACACACTTTGTTGGCTTTCCAAATCCCATGTTATCCTCCTGCAAAAACAATACAAAAGAAAACTTGTGAAATGTTTGAAGAAGCTTTTTTGGCGCACTTTGAAGCAAATGGAATGGGGGATGGGTGTTACCAGGGCATGTTCTCCCAGGGCTGCACTTTGTCATCACTTCTGTTCATTGTTTTTATGGTATTTCTGCAGCCACTTTAGGTGACTACACAAGAGGTTTTTATTTGGCTTCATCAACCAGGACCTCCAACCTGCACTGGGGCGGTTGAGCCGAGTGTGAAGTGGTTGGGATGACCACTTCACATGTGCTTACATGGAATTGACTTTCGTCTTTCCTGCACAATTGGCCTAGGCAGCCTCCGCTGTCTACCCCTAGTATCCCCCTCGAGCGACTATATGGAAGAAGAGCTGTTTTCACGCACTGAGTGTGATTGTCTACTATAGGGGATGCCACGGTAAAGACCCAGGACACTTTGTAGGGACTATGGCTGCTTCCAAATGCATAAAGGACGCCTCTTTTCTTATGCTTCCTTCTACTTTTTATTGATCTTGGGTTTAATTTGATTTAATTTTACTTAAAGCTGCACTAACTGACTTTATTTTCGTATTCATCACGGAAATTCAATCCATATCCATGCAGTGCATTGGAATATACGTCCTTTTGAAGAATAAGTAGCGCAGGTTTGTGCTGGCGTGACATTATATTTTAGATCGAGTTTGGTGAAACAAGGAAGAGAAAGTGTTTCTGGTCTCAGATTGTGACCAATCACAGCGGACCACTGGCCCCCGCTTTCGTGAGAAAAGCCACAGGTCTCTGGTTAGCACAGACAGCTGAGTTAGCACAATCGGCAGAGGCTAACCTGAAACTTCCTGTGTCTTCGTTAATGCTTACACAGCGAAACATCCATCCAAAAGAAAGTCTCGTCCTCTCCACGCTTCCCGGTTCTGTCATTCTATGGTCACGCCATCCACGTGAAAAAGTGCCATGTTGTTCCATATTGTGAGACGCTAGCCCCGATGCTAACAACAGCACAGAGCACAGGCTGCGGGGGAGGGGGGTAGTGGGGGGCGAAAGTTCCGTGGGTGCGGGGAGGGCAAGCAGAGAGAGGGAGCGCATCGCTCGCGTTTGAAATTTTCTCCAAATCAGTTAGTGCAGCTTTAAGTAGCATGAAATAATTCTAAAAAAGCTCTTAAAATTCACTTGAACAAACATAGAACAACCCTATTGATGTAGATTTCAGAAATGTCTCCATAAAGTGTTTCATACTAATGATTATCATTAGGTGTTTCACATAGGGAAATAGAGCTCAGAGAGTTTTGTATTAATATTTAATTGTAAAGAGAATTAAATATTGTTTTATATTTAACTCTTGAATCTACGTATTATTTCTGTATCAAATTCTGAAACGCGTCCGTCATTTTTTTGACAATACGATCTTTAAAAACGAATTTGGATTGCAGCCCATGTCTCTCAACTGGCCTGGGAGGGATCTGGATTTCCCCGAATGAGCTGGAGGAAGTGTGTGTGGGGAAGGCAGTCCGGGCGTCTCTGCTCAGACTCCATGACCCCGTCTGCATGAAAAGGAAACGTAGAAGTCGACTATCATAACTTTATACATTATTATTTCATACTCACTGATACATAATACGAACCAACGAAATCCCTGATGATTCCAGCAGATGTGCAGATGCCCATGTGACCAATGAAGGGGAGCACCCACCTATAGAAGATAATCCTGTTATTACAGCCATACATTTTCTGCCACTTCATCCGTTGCCGGGTTTCGGTGGCAGTAGTTTAAGTAGAGAAGCCCAGACTGGCCAGCTGAGAGACATAGAGTCCCTCCAACGGGTCTTGAGTCTTCACTGGGGTCTCCTCCGGTGGGACATACCTGAAATACCTCCCCAGGGAGGCGTCCAGGAGGCACCCGGAACAGATGCCGGAGCCACCTCAATCACCGATCCACTTCAATCTCACGCTCCATCCTTCCCTCACTGGTTAACAAGACCCTAAGTTACTTGAACTCCTCTACATGAGGAAGGGCCTTTCCACCTATCTGGAGAGGGCAAGGCACCTTTTTCTGGTTGAACACCATTGCCTCAGATTTGGAGGTACTGATTCTCATCCTAGCCGCTTCACACTCGGCTGCAAACCGTCCCAGTGCATGTTGCATGGCTCCAGGACAACATCATGCGCAAACAGCAGAGATGAAATCTTTCGGTCTCCGAACTGGACCCCCACCGGCTCCTGGCTCTGCCTATAAATTCTGTCCATAAATATAGTGAACAGAACCGGTGACAAAGGCCAGCCTTAGCGGAGGCCAAAATGCACAGGGAACAGGTCTGACTTACTGCCGGTGATGCGAACGCAGCTCTGACTCTGGTCAAACAGGGACTGGACGGCCCTCAGCAGAGTACCCCGTACTCCCGGAGAACCCTCCAAAGGACAGCCCTGGGAACACAGTTGAACGCCTTCTCCAAATCCACAAAGCACATGTGGACAGGTTGGGCAAACTCTCATGAGCTGGTCCAGTGTTCCGCGGCCGGGACAAAAACCACACTGCTCCTCCAGAATCTGAGATTCAACCATTGGTTGAAGTCTCCTCTCCAGTACCTTGGAGTAGACCTTACCGGGGAGGATGAGGAGTGTGGTCCCACGATAATTGGAAAACACCCTCCGGCCCCCTTTCTTATAGAGAGGGACCACCACAACAGTCTGCCACTCCACACAGTGTGTATGCCACGCGATGTTGCAGAGAAGTGTCAGCCAAGACAGTCCTACGACATCCAGAGACTTTAGATAGTCATTCAATCCCGGAGCCTTGCCACCAAGGAGGTTGCCAACCACCTTGGTGACTTCAGCCAGTGATATGGGAGTATACACCCCAACATCCTCAGTCTCTGCCTCCAGGATGAGACCGGGGAATATAGGAGAACCTCAAAGTATTCCTTCCACCGCCCAACAGCTAACAGCTAACAGACCAGTCGACAGTCGGGTTGATAATGGAAATAATAACCAAACTAAGTTGGAAGCTATTAGCTGTCATGTTAGCCACAAGACGAGTCATTGGCCTACGTCAGTAAAATTACGTATGCCGCAGCTCAACTTGACAGGAAAGGTACTGCTATCACACAGCAGCAGTGTGGTTTCACAAGAGCAGTTGACTAATTAAACCAAACTTTACACAAACCTTGACTCTTAAAGTGACATTTGTGTCTCAATTCATTCGTATTTAAACTTTTTACACAATTCACGGACTCTATGTCCGCCATCTTGGAATGCATCTTGGAAGCACATGCGCATGTTTGCATTACATCATAAACAGCTGAGGGAGCTCATCTCAACGGGCAGACCACTTCGACAGAACACCTGCTACAAATTTTCGATGGAGCAGGGGTGGCTACGCAAGGGTCTTGCGGTGATCCTTGCATTGGTCAGGTGACGTCAAGTCACCACCGCGCCGCGTGAGTATACACTAGGCTTTAAGACTGATAACAAATGTTTGAAAAACTTAAATAAGGATATTTGCATTCAATATTCTGTAGCACTCAGAGGCGTCCTTTGCCATTAGGCAAGGAAGCAGCTGCCTGGGGCCGCCAAACTGGCAGGGGGCCCCGAGGGCTGACTGATTTGACACAAGCGGTCGACTTGTACAGGCTACAACAGCTACCTGCAGTGACGAGTTGGCGGATAAAAACTTTTTCAAGTTTGTCTGATGCAAAACTTGTCACGTTCTTCATTAACTGTTAAAACCCTGCCTGGGGCCAATCGTGTATTATGTAATAGCAATCTAGAGGTTAAGTTGCAGCGCTACGCCGCGATAACCCGGGTTCGAATCCGGGTGAAATCTGTGTTTTGGATTAAACTATATATATTATTTTCTATAACAGATTGCTCAAGAATGGTAAAAGGTAACAACAAGCTGTTTTTTGTAGATTGAAGTTAAGAGCCTAATCTTCAATTTGGACCAAAGATTAGATTTTGTAGGATTAATACACTTTGATAGGTCGTTTTTGTAATTAATTATAACATGATGAGTGTAGTGAACAAGCTTATAAAAAGACATGCTAAATTATTTCTCATTGCTTTGAGTCACGATAAGTACTGAAGTACTCACAATCTTCTATGGTAGACTGTACAGTATGCCAGGCAGGCCCCAGGCCTATCCATTTTTGTTAAAAATAAGAAATTATCGACATTTAATTTATATTAATATAAACAAGTAATAGATATTGCATTTTACCTTAATATTAAATATATATGTATGCCTACTGTAATATATACCTTTTGTGAGTTAATGTGGTTGCCTGGGGCCCTGGGTTACCCTTGACCTTGGTGAAGTTGGTTGGATATTGGATATTTGGCATATATTCAGAGTGGGGAAGTGATGGGGTCGTCAGCTGGCCTGAGAGGAGTACGGAGCAGATATGTACTCGGACGAGCGTCCGCTTATATTTAGGGACCGTCAACATTTTACGCTACTCTAATTTTTCGCTATTATAACAGTGGATTTCAAAAAGAGTATAATAGCTAAATATGATACAATAAATTCATAAATACGTCAAAAACGGGAAAATGGAACATTATTTGATTTTTGTTTTTACTCAATAGCTTTTGAGAAATTTGACCCAGTTACCGCAAACCACTTTACAGATTTTATATCATAATATTTTTGGTTAAAAATACAAGTTTTTCTTCAATAGTTTTAAGGCATTTGATCTACTCACCCCAAACCACTATAAAACAATAGAACTACCTGTGGGATATGGGGCTCAGGCCTTGAAATTATGTTTAAAAGCTTTTAAAAATATTTTTTGGTTAAAAATACCAGTTTTTCCTCAATAGCTTTTAAGGCATTTGACCCACTCACATATATAAATTTTCTTTTTCTCTGGTTGAGTAGTTTGTTACATGCGTTGGGGTACTTTTATTTAACTACACCAGACACATTTGTCTTGCTCTTTTTTCCGGAAACATGTTTGTAATGACCAATCGGATTACCCCTTACTGAAAATGCAGACTGCGGTTATTTTTGTTTTGTTTTGTTTATATTATGTCTCAGCATCACCGGCTGCATGTTCTTAGTATTGTATATTTAAATGTGTGTGCTTGTGTGTGTATGAATGTGAGTGTTCCTGACTGGATGTTCTCACTCTTACTATTTCTAAATTGCTAATTTCTTTCATACAATTACCGTATAATTAAGTATGGTTAATGGTATTAAAATTATTCATGTGAATATTAGGAGCCTATTGCCTAAAATAAATCAACTAAGAGCTTGGGTAAGCTACAACAAACCTGCTGTTGTTACAATATCTGAAAAATGGCTCTCCTCAGGTATCTCTGACAATGATATTCACTTAGACAATTATACTGTGTACAGAGCAAACAGAGGGGTTCTAGAGGAGGCGGAGTAGCCACTTATATACTATCGAGTTTACAAGAGAAACCATTACACTTTGAAGGGCTTTTTGTTAAAATAATTTTGCATAAAAACAAACATCTGACCATTGGTAACACCTACAGACCTCCAAACTCCCCTTCTGATTCCGTAAAAAATATTTTAGCCACTCTCTCATCCCTCAGTTGTAATAATGAAATGATCATCCTGGGAGACTTCAACATAAACTCCTTCCTCAACATCTGAAATAATTAATAGCTCTAATTTCACCCAGTTGATTAATGACCCCACACGAATTAGTCCTACTTCCCAATCTCTTCTGGACTGGATTTTAGTAAATCGTCCAGAAAGATTCCTTGAATCCGGTGTTTTACCAGACTGCTTCATTGATCATTGTATTGTATACTGTATTTGGAAAATGAAACCTCCGCGTCTTCCCCCAAGGATCATCAAAGTGAGTAAAACTAAATTACTGAACAGGGATTTCTTTATTAATGATGTCTTAAATATAAACTGGGACAGACTAGATTTAATACCCAATATAAATGAAGCCTGGGACTATTTCTCCACTGAAATTTTGAATGTCATTAATGTACATGCACCATTGACATAAATCAGGTTTAAGGGAAACCATCTTCCCTGGGTGAATGGTGAACTAATCAATCTATATAGAGAACGGGATAGATCCTGGTCTAAATATAATTCCTCTAGACTTGCTGCTGACCTATCCTATCCTAAAATAATTTTTTGAAACACATCAACCATTTATCTGGTAAAACCAAATCTGAAGATTCTAATATGCTTATTAATGACGTTATCACAAATGATGCAGCTACTCTTGCAAATGCCTTTAACTTAAATTTCTCTCATTTACCTCCGGTCCAACCTCCTCCACTTTCTCCAATTTCTTCCTGTTATGTTACACCTGACAGTAGTTTTTCATTTAGACGGGTAAGCCCAGCTGTAGTACAGCAGATTTTAAATGGGTTATCCTCTTGCAGTGCTGGTCCAGACGGCATCGAGACCAAGTTCATCAAGCTTGCATCTCATGTTCTTTGTTTTCCTTTGGCAGATCTTTTTAATTTATCCTTTCAATCATGTGAAGTTCCCTCTGCCTGGAAATGTGCAAAGGTCATCCCTATCCACAAAGGTGGTGACTCAAATAATATAAATAATTAGAGACCCATCTCTATCATCAATAGTATTGTCAAAGTATATGAAAAAATTGTGTTTAATCAACTGTCTCAAAACCTATCAACCAATAATCTCTCTCCATTTCAATCTGGATTTAGAAAACATTTTTCAACCATATCTGCGTT